CACCACATAAGCAAAAAGAAAAAAGCCAGAAGTGGTGCTGTGGCTCAAGTGGTAGAGCGCTAGCCTTGAGCTGAAGAGCTGAGGGACAGCGCCCAGCGACCAGACCCCCCCTCCCCCCAAAAACAAGACTTAGAAAACTAAAGGGCTGCCCCATGGAGGAGGGGTAGGGATTGCTAAAGTTCTGTGGAGCCAGAGCATGGTTATTGGACAGGAATAATGAAACAGGAAAGGAAAATGGATTTTCTGTAACACATAAATGCCTTGTTTCATTTATATGTCTTTTAATGATGTAATTACCTCTCTGTGGTCAAGTCTCAAGTTGTTTTTTTTCTGACCCACACTGTTTTTGTCTTCCCCCATAGTCTTTTACATTTTCCTTTACCCACCAGCCTCATCTAGGTACTTAATTCCAAGACTAGTTATTCCTGGCAACTTTATAACCTTTCCTCAGGCAATTGCTTAAGGTCATTGTAATAATGCAATATGTAATAATGTAAAATGTGGCTTTAAACAATTACTAATGTTTAAGCTCTTCTAGTGCATTGTGGTTAAAAAAATCAAACCTATCAGTGTCATATAGTCTTCAATATGATTTTTGTTTCCTGAGATAATTTGATCCTCTTGATAGTTTATCAAAGAACAGGAATGATTCCTTCATGTCTCATAGCTATTAAGGGGAAGACCTAGCTGCTACTTGAGTACACATCTTCTGACTTAGGTCTGCTCTATTGCTCTTGTTAATGAATTCTCCTATTTTCTTTGTTGTAATTTACTTTGCATTTTTTAGAGTTCTTAATTCATCTTGGTAGTTTTTAATCTAGTATCTCCCAATCTCCTAATTTGACTGGTACGGAAAGATTTATTATTATTTACATTAAAATTGAAACTTAAATAGTATGTCTATATAAAGCTGAACTGCTTAGTTCCTGCCAGAGTTGAAATTAGAATTAAAGGTGAGAATTTCCTGACTTTTGGTCTGATCTGTTTGCAGGACAAATAGAACTTTAATATAACTTGTCAGTTTAAAATTTCTTTTCATTATAAATGAACATAAGCTTTTTTGGGGGGTCATAGTACCAGGGCTTGAATTCAGGACCTCACTCCATTTGTTCATTAGTACTTTATCAATTGAGTCCATGTCCAGTCCCACAGTTTGCTGGTTAATTGAAGAGTTTCTTAGACTTTTCTGCCTTGATCCTCTAAATCTTACCTTCTGAGTAGCTAAGATTATAGGCATGAGCCACTAGTGCCTGGCTTAAACTTTAAGCGTGGAAAATAATAGTTAGCTACTATAACTGATATAAGAATATATCACAATAATATTAATCTTATTCATATTACTCATCATAATTTGGGCTCTGTTAATAAACAAAATGCTCTAGTTTTTGTTAAGCAACGAATTTCCAGGTAATAACTTTTTTAACATTTTTAATATTTCATTTTATTTTAGAGGGGAGGGGCCACTGAAAACTTCCCGTGATTTAGTTCATCACCTAGAGGTACGTTTTTGTTTTCATTGTATGCTAGTACTTTGTTAACAATAAGGGAGTTAAAAATGCCTCTTTTTGAGGCATTTCAGACTGAACCCAGGGCTTCATACACTGAACTTTATCTCCTACCCTTTTTCATTTTTGTTTATACTTATTTTTTTGTGCTGTTCCTGGGACTTAAACTCAGGGCCTAGGCGCTATCCCTAAGCTTTTGTGCTCAAGGCTAGTGTTTTACCTCTTTGAGCCACATCTGGGTTTTGGGAGCTCAATTGGAGATAAGAGTCTCATGGACTTTCTTTCCTGGGCTGGATTCCAACTACTATCCTCAGATCTTAGCCTCCTGAGTAGTTAGGATCACAGGTATGAACCACTAGTGCCCAGCTTCATTTTAATTTTGACAGATTTTGCTAAATTGACTAGGCTGGGCTAGAACTGGTTATCTTTCTACCTCCCAAGTAGCTAGGATTGTAAGCATGCATCATCATACCTATTCTTGTTATTCTAAGTGATTTATTCTATCATACGTGTATGCTCACTGTATACACACTGGAGTGTAATACAGAGTGCAGAAAATTAAAATTTAAAGAGCTTGCACTAATATTTTGTTTATCTTGCCAGAAAGAAATTTAAATATTATTGGGGTAATGCAGACTAGGCTAATAGACACAATAGTATGTTTTATGTTTTTCCAAGTAGGTGAAAATTTCCTGTAGACAGATACAAATCCCTTACATCTTCTAGAGTTCTAGTAAGACTTTCTGACCTCTTCACTGAATTGAATGGTATCAATTAAATGAGATGATACATAAGCTTCTGTCACATGCTAATGGATGATATTCAGTTATTCCTTCTTTCCATCCACATTCCTTCCATCCACATGATGACTCAGAACATGTAGGGAAAGACAGACATGTTACTTTTTGTCCTGTACGTTTAGTGGAACTCCATGTAGCCTATCTCTAGAAGATGAGTTCAACTTCTAGATAGAGACTTTAGATTGGCAAATGGGTCACAAAACTCCTTCCCTATTTTGTCCCGTGTTAGCCTGTTTTCCTGCATTTGAAATTTAGGAGTTTGTATCTCTTGATCACTGTTTTTTAGTCCTCTTTGGCATTCCTGTATGCTTCTGTAAGAACTGCTTCAGGACAAGGATTTCAACTGAAAGGAATAGCTGTCAAAATAGGATTACCGAAAGTGTTTTCGCAAGCTTTTCTATAAATGAGCTAATTCACTTAAATTCACCTATTCCACTCACTTTATTCCATGTGAGCTTATTCATCAAACTTACACCCTGTGTCTGGGCTTTGAACTCAGGGTTCTGTGCTTGCCAGGCAGTTGCTCTACTACTTGATCTCTATAACAGCCCTTTTTTGTTTTTCAAATATTTACTTATTTCACGTTTATTTTTTCAAAATATTTATTTTTCTCAGAGTTATGCCTGGCCTGCCTGGACTGTGATCCCTTGATTTATGTTTCCTGTGTAGATGGGATAAGGGGATGTCAGTTTTATTCCACTATGTGCAGCCAGAATTTTTTTTTAATTGTTTCAAATGAGGTCACACAGACTTTTTGCCTGAACTGCTATTGAACTATGATCCTTCCAGTGTCTTAAATAGTTAGGAATTTAGACACAGCTCCACCCCCCATACTGAATTTGCATGTACATTTAAATACAATGTCCTGAATATTCGTATCTGTTCAGTTTTCACTATTTAAGTGCATGGTGAATGGTGAAAATCAATATGAAAACAAGGAGAAATAATCTAATCCTCTCAAACTGCTTATGGAATGTGTATTCTTAGATGGAATTAGCAATGTTCTAACCTTTTGGACCTCATGTTCCAAGTTTCAGTCTTCCTGTTATAATTGGGAATTTTGGGTCTGGGAATGTGGCTCAGTGGTAGAGTGCTTGTCTACCATGCATGAAGCCCTGAGTTTGACTCCTCAGTACCACATAAACATAAAAAGCCAGAAGTGGTGCTGTGGCACTAGTTTGAGCTAAAGAGCTCAGGATCAGCACCCAGGCCAAGTTAAAGCCCCATGACTGGCAAAATAAAATAAACATAATTGGGAATTTTATGAGATCCTTGGAGAAACCTACAAACAATGAGTGGCTGAGTATCACAGGTCTGTAAGACTCTTCAGAATAATTGGAGGTTTCCGATATAGAGGAGCCTTCCTACTCTGGAAAATACCTCTGAATCCAGTTAATCTCTTGTGTTTACTTGCATAAGATACAACAACTCTTTAGGAGTTCTGCAGGATTTTAGTGTTCCATTATATGTTTTAAAGTATATAAAATTAACAAGTATATTCCTTGCTAATTATCCACTAAACATTAGTCTAAAATAGTGATATTCTCCTTTGCTAGGATTTTGCCACTGAGGGATTGAAGGTTACTGCAAGTGCACAAGCCTTTTCAAAACAGGTAATTTTGTCTACTTCCGTGGTCTTGTGGTGATACCTTGTATACCCACCTTGGGACTATATTATTAAGAGTTAAAGGACTTTAGATTTAAAAGATGGAATGTTGATGAAGTAGTTACAACTTCCTAAATTTCATTTCAGCTGAAAGATGATGACAAGCTTATGCTTCTCCTGGAAATAAACAAGCTAATTCCCCTGTGCCACCAGCTTCAGACAATGACTAAGACATCTGTGCAGAATAAAGTGTTTTTAAAGGTAAAAGATGGGGTGGATTATTTAGGTAAACATTTATAATACTAGTACACTCACTTTTTTAAGTGTTAATACTCACTGCAGGGTAATACATGTCCATTTTCATGACAACTGAATTATCCATGATTATCTTCTTTTTTGGGGGGGTAAGCCACCTTCCCAGCCCTGATTATCTTCTGGTATAACTGACCTCAGGAAGCAGCAGGTTCAGCAAATAAATGAGCCTGGTCATAGGATAATCCATAGTGCCATAGAGCCACTTTTAAGTCCTCACTTGTGAGTGGCACATACCCCTCTTGAGTCTAGTTTCCTACAATTTAACTGAGGAAATGTGGGCGTATGCCAACACGGCAGAGTGCTAAAATTGCACAGAGGGAAATTCAATGCAGGTATTTAGTGTTTGAAAATTCCTAGCTAGTTGTAGTAGTTGCTTTTCCTCTTGCTTTTCCTGGGGTTCCATAAAAAAGGCACGAGACTTGGATGGCCAGTCCTGTGTTGTGAGGTTTGCAATCAGCTTATGTCTTCTAATGTATGCCTTTTAAGACTTCTTAGAGTTCCACAATGGGGAAATTTTATCATGTTAAAACTAACTGATAGAAGGGGAAACAAAGGAGGAGGCTACAATGCTTGATAAGAAATGTACTCATTATCTTGCCCATGTAATTGTAACCCCTCTGTATTTTCACAATAAAAAATAAATTAAAAAAAAAACTGATAGGGCTGGGAAGGTGGCTCAGTGGTAGAGTGCTTGCCTTGCATGCCTGAGGCCCTGGGTTCCATTCCTCAGCACCACATAAGCAAAAGGAAAAAAGCCAGAAGTGGTGCTGTGGCTCAAGTGGTAGAGAGGTAGCCTTGAGCTGAAGAGCTGAGGGACAGCGCCCAGGCCCAGAGTTCAAGCCCCACAACTGGACCCCCCCAAAAAAAGACAAAAAACAAAAACTGATAATATTTTATGAAGGAATCGGTTTTAGAATGTGATTCTCATGTGTTCTGTCACTGTAGGTTGATAAATGTATTACGAAGACAAGATTTATGATGGCTCTCTTGGTCCAACTTCTCTCACTTTGCTATAAGCTGCTAAAGAAGGTGAGGTCATTTTCTATTTTCAACTGGCTTTTTAAAATATTAAAACTTTGGGCTGAAGGCATGGCTCAGTTAGTACAGTGCCTGACTACAAAAGGCAATACTGCTATCAGAAAAAGAAAAGAAAAATAATTAAGAAAAATATACTAAGTGAAGTAAGCCAGGCCCAAAGAAACATAGGTCCCATGGTATCCCTTATTTGCAATAACTAGTACATGTCTAGGACAAGCAAAAAGTCAACAGCTATGTACATATGACCTTATAAGATAATGTTAAGCGAAATGAACCCCAAGACAGGGACACAAGTGGTTTTTTCTTTCTTGCTATTGTTTTTAAGGTACTTATAATGCATTATGTGTTTCTTTTGTATGTTCTTCCCCCATGGTATAACCCCTATTTTCACTGTTTCTTATTCTGATGGCCTGCATCTTGTATATACATTTTATAATTTGGAGAGGGGAAGGGAAATAACAAAATGCTTAAATAAGGATACAGGTTGACCCGTTGTAACAATGAGATGTACAAGACACTATGTTGAAAACGAACTTTACAATTTGGGGAGGGGGAGGAGTAAGGGAGGTGGGAAGGGCAAGGATGGTAGGGGAAAACAAAGGAGGAGATAACAATGCTCGATAGGAAATGTACTCTACCTTACTCATGTAACTGTAACCCCTATGCACAGTATTTTTACAATAAAAAAATGGAAAAAAAATTAAAACTTTGGGCTGAAGGTATGTCTCAATTAGTACAGTACCTGACTACAAAAGGCAATACTGCTATCAGCAAAAGAAAAATAATTAAGGAAAATAATAGTTAGCAAAGGTGGCATACGCTGGTAATTCTCACTACTTGGGAGGCTGAGATCTAAGGACTGCAGTTCAAAGCCAGACCAGGCAGAAGTTCATGATTCTTATCTGCAGCAAAAAGCCAGAACTGGAGGTGTGGCTCAAATGGTAGAATGCCAGTCCTGAGCGGAAAAGCCAGCAAGAGTTCAAGGTCTTGAGTTCAAGCTCCAGAATTGGCACAAAAAGAAAAAAAAGAAATGGATAGTATTTAATCTCTCCCCCCCTTTTTTTCCTTTAAAGTAAAACACTAATTATCTCAATTCTTTTCAGTTTCAGATTGAAAATAACAATTGGGTCTCGGTGACCAATAAAGATGCCATGGACAGTAAAACTTGAGAAACTTTTGGTCCAGATTCCTGGGATTCTATGTGGCAAAGATGAAATGTCTAAAAAAGATGTTCCTTTATACTTTCAGAAATTCATCCTTCCTATAAAGAAAATACTGGAATCTTTTATTTTTTTGGTCTTCAGATTGTGACACTTTCTGACAACTAATTAGTGCCAAGGTGTTTGCTAGAATTCTAACTGCAATGCAATTTTAAAATGGGGCTTTGCACTAGTAATGTTCTTTAAAAGCTAAACCAAATATTCCAACTGTCTTAATGACATTTGAATCCAAAGAAGCTATTTTGAATATATGCTGAACTTTGACATTTATGCTTTGTTTTCTTTATTTAAGCTTATCATCTAGAACACTATTTCATCAGAAAATGTACAGTGGTCTGGGGGAACACAGGGTTTTTTCATCCCTCAGAGGATGCCCTGTCACAGACCATCCATGGTAATAGCAAGGCTGTTTTCTAACATGTGTCACATAAAAGGATCATCTGTGCATCCCTCCTCTACTCTCAATAACAAGTTAATGGAAACTCCACAGAATCTTCAGTAAACTTCTGGAAGTAACTGTCTTTGGGTTCTAGTATAGCTGGCCAATCTGCCCTAATAGGGCTTCCTACTGGCTTAAAAAGGTTGTGAACCATCCTCAGAATGGCAGATTAAAAAGGAAGAACTTTGGAACTGAGGCACTGTTTATTCTGTATACTCATACATTGTATTTTATATATATGGCATTGCAATGTGCATTAACAAATAAATGTCTTTGGTATTTTTAATTTTAGCATTTAAACTTGTTCTGTTTGTGGAATAGGGTTTTGACTAAAGAATCTGGCTCTGAAGTTTTCTCATGATTTAGTATGGTATCTTTGTTGTGGAGTACTGTCATATTAGTGTCAGTATCCCAATATTTTGAAAACAGTTGCTAAGTTGGTAAGATGTTCTGATGACCTTTATATGGGTAAGCCAACATAAAATGTTCACACAAAATCCTGAAGGAACGATTATTGATTAGTCAAGAACTAAAGTGTAATTAGCCAATATTTCACTGAAGAAAATTTTTGCTGTAGCCCTTAGTGTACTCAGCTTGATAGCCTTTAAAAAGTACTTCTAATTCCAGAGACCCATGGCTCATCCCTGTAATCTAACCTACTCAGAAAGCTGAGACCTAGAGGATCATGGTTTGAAACCACCCTGGGCAAGAAAAGTCTCTCCATATCCATTCAATTAATGAACAAAATGCCAGACTGGAGATGTGGCTCAAGTTGCAGAAGTGTCAGCCATGAGTAGGAAAGAAAGAAAATGGAGCAAATGGGCAGCTCTGAGACCAGGCCTCAGTACTGGCATAAGAACACAAAACAAACCCAAAAATCTCTTTTATTAAGTCATTAAGAATGTATTTTTATTTTGTGAAACTGAAGTACTCTTATAAATCATCGCTATAGTAGTGGAAGTATATTTAAAATACATATGTAGTTTTAATAGCTTTAGTATCATCACTGTATTAAGTCTTTTTTTCTCCTTTTAAAAATTTTTGCTGGTATCAAGGCTTGAAGTCAGGGCCTTGTTTTGGAGATGGGAGTCTCACTGACAGACTAGCTTTGACTCCTGATTGTTTAAGTCTCAGCATCTGAGTAGCTAGTGGCTCACCAGTGTGAGCCACTGGTGCCTGACTTGTATGAAGTCTCTAAGAAACACTGTGCTGCTCTTAGTGAGAACCTACAGCTGTGTGATTTTATTTCTAGGATAGCACTATCATTGTAGAGACTCACAGTTATCTTCTACATCATGTCCTGAAAATTACAAAGTTGTCGGGAACTACAAATAATTATTTACAAAATACTCTTTTTATACACCTAAAAAGAATAGTGTCTTAGTTTTTCCTAAATTTAATGATGTGAATGTCTTTGTTCAATTCCAGCCCCTCTGAATAAAATGTTCCCAGTGAAGTCTTTATTAGATATATCTAAAGATAACTGAAACTAAAAGGTGTGAGACTAGTGATTGCAATGTATTTGCAAGAACCTGTTTAATAGTGCATTCTAACAGTTTTACTTGCTAGCAAAGTCCTTTGTACTTTTCAAAGCCTTTTCTTGTCTCTCATCTAAGTCAGAGGAAGGCCATTTCAATGGAGTAAGGAGAGTACATTTGCTTAAGTAAGTACATCTGCTTCTTCCTTCCAACCTAAAAGAGGGAAAAGTGGTAAGACAAGAGTTTTCAGTAGTGTCACATAAGCAGATGAGGTAAGAAAAGCCAAAACATCAAACCGATGGAAAACTGACCCTAACACAGTAAGTGGCCAGGCACCAGTGGCTTATGCCTATAGTTCTAGCTACTCAGGAGGCTGAGATCTGAGGATTGCAATTCAAGGTCAGCCCAGTCAGGAAAGTCTTATCCAATTAAGCCCCAGAACAGTAGGAAGTAGAGCTGTGGCTCTGGGGTAAAGCATCCAGGCCCTGAGCTTACACCCCAGGATGGACACATGGACAAAAGGATAGATGGACACACAGACACAGACATGGACACGGACACACACGCACGCACGCACGCACGCGCCCACACACACACACTACCAGCACCATCAACAACAAAAATAGTATGTCAAAATTTAGTATTTACTTCCAGAGTACAAATATGATGGATAAATTATTCTTTCTTGGCTACTTAAACTTTTCTGTCAAAGAGTTTAGTTTGGTTTTAATTTTTTAAAAAGTCCTTGTTTACCAGTTACTAAAACCAAGAAAACAGAGAGAGTAGATAAGGATGGCAGATTTGGGAGCTTGGAGACCAAAGGGATGCAAGGCTTGTTATGTGTAATCAAAGGAGGAAGACAATGTTAACTGAAGGATTAGCCAGTCCTCGAAAAAGGCTGGAGCATGTCTCACAGTTACTGCTTCTCCTTCAGTGCACTGATAAGGTTGGCCAGGTAAGGTTATGAATCTTCCATCACTTCTACTCCATTTCAGTCCTCAAGATGTAGCTGTTGTGGCATCCATTCGTTTTCCCACAATTTCATCATACTGTTTTTGTGTCAATAAACCTTCTGTTATGCTTTTACTTTCTTCAAATTTGGGCAATACAACTGCAATGTAGCCTTCAGTGGAAGGCTGGAAAGAAAACAATATTTAGTACTGTCAAATTATTTTTTAAAAATATATTTTAAAAAGTAGGGATCATGCACTCCTTTTTACCTTTTCTTGAAGAATAGATGGCTTATGGAGAATGTTTTCATTTACTTCCATCAAACGTCCTCTAATACAGCTGTTTAAAACAATTTTATTTTTTGAGAAAAGAATAACAATGTTTCCCAGGAAGTTTTCCTGGAAAAAACCATAATGAACATAGATATCTGAAGTTAAGACACAATTACTCACCTAGATATGGTATATTCTTCCCCATCTGAGCAGTAAATTTTACACAGAGGTGCAAGTTCTGTTAAAAACTGTGCTCCCTAGGCAATGAAAAGAGAGATGTTAATTAAACAATGTATATTCCTACTTCCTTTTTGTTTTTGTTAGTTTTTCTCAGTTGTGGGGCTTGAACTCTGAGCCTGGGTGCTGTCCCTCAGCTCTTCAGCTCAAGGCTAGCAATCTACCACTTGAGCCACGATGCTACTTCCAGTTTTCTGGTGGTTTATTAGAGATAAGAGTCTCACTGACTTTCCTGCCTGGGCTGGCTTTGAACTGTGATCCCCAGATCTCAGCCTCCTGAGTAGCTAGGATTATGGGTGTGAGCCACCAGCTTACTATAATACCTTTTTAGAACTTGAGTTAGTGGTTTAGTAAATCCAGAACAAACGAGCCACCGAGTTGTCCTTTCAAAGGCTTACCTTCTACCTCCTCTATTCTGGGGATAACAGGAATGGCAGTACAGAGCCTAATATAATAGACATTATACCTAATGAAAGACTTTCTTTATCCTGTGAGAATTTCTGTTAAAAATACTTAAATCAGCACCTTAAACTTCCAGTGATGGTATGCTGACCATACATTTACTGGACCCCAAGGCTGACTAGTTCTACCATATCACCACAGAATTACAGGAACATACCCGCTTGAATTTCCCAGAAACCTTGTTCTGAAGTCTGCTACAGTTGGTACTGATCTGATAGGAAATACTTTGTATTGTTTTTCCACTTTGAAGAACTGGATGAGAAGCAGCCAATGTGATGACACATATTCTACAAGGAGAAAATATGGATTCTGTATTACTGTTTGTAATAACTCTTTGTCCTATTAGAATTCCTATTGGTACTGAACTGGTACTTGTTTTGTCAAGCTATAATCTCTTTTTGTTTGGCTAATATTGGAGCCTAATAGTAATATAAGGAATGTAATCTTAGAAGAGGAGAAAGATTGGAGTTTCTTTCAAGAAAAGGGAAGAGTAACAGAAGTCTTTTTTTTGGGGGGGGGGGAATCCGGTTGTGGTGCCTGAACTCTGGGCATGGCATGGACGCTGTCCCTCAGCTCTTCAGCTCAAGGCTAGTGCTCTATCACCTGAGTCACAACGCCACTTCCGGGTTTTTTTTTTTTTTGCTTACGTGGTGCTGAGGAATCGAACCCAGGGCCTCATGCATGCAAGGCAAGAGCTCTACCACTCAGCCACCTTCCCAGCCCAACAGAAATCTTTAGATAGCACTGAAGTGGAAGAGAGTGAAGTAAGGCATGCCTGTATATAGGAAACTATGACCCTTTCCCTGGGTGAGCTCTAGCAGTTCAGTTGTTAGGCACAGGTTAACTACATTAGGTAGCAGGTTAACTGAGGATATGGTCCTCTACTTAGATTTTTTTTTTTTTGCGTGACTAGGCCCTGGAAGACTCAGTTCTGCCAACAAACTATTATAATAATAACACTATTTAGCACAGTGAAGATCATATGCATGTGTGTATGTATATATGTATGTATATGCACTCATATATACAGGGCCAGAAAAATGCTCTACTATTGGAGCCACATCCCCCACATGTTTTGCTTTGTTTTTCTGCCTGTCCTGGACTTGAACTCAGGGTCTGGGCTCTGTCCTTGATCTTTTTGCTCAAGGCTCATGCTGTACCACTTGAGTCACAGAAGTAACTTCTGGATTATTCTGAGTAGATTATTGGAGATAAGAGTCTCATGGAGGTTTCTACCTGCCTGGATCAGCTTCTGAAATGTGATCTTCAGATCTTAGGCTCCTGAGTAGCTTATTCCCCCCACCCCCCACCCCCCAGTACACCGACAAGGTCTTATGCTTTGGGCTGGGCTGGCCTCAGACCATGTAGTTCCTACCTCAGTCTCCCAAGTAGCTGGGATTACAGACCTGTGCCAGCATGCCCAACCAGCAGTGGCAAATAATATAATTTTTTATCTAATAAGTTTTTGTTCAACTTAGAACTCAGCGTGTAAGAAGAAATAAGTTTTTGGTAATTAAAAATATTTGGTTACCTACCGGTTAGAGTGCTGTAGGATACAGTGGTCTTCACAAGGTTTTCCTTTGACATCTTTACGAAGAATAAATAGATTATTGTCTGAGGAATCAGTATTTATTACTACTTGTTACTTTCTGGGGCTCATGGGGATAATTATGAAGATGAGATTCAGGCTCATCATTGGTGTCCCTTTTTTACAAATATGTAAAGGCTTCTGATAAAGAATTTCAATGGAACTGACCCAGACAGATTAATTCAATGGTAAGGTGATCAAGCACTTGCTCCATCATGCTTATCTTCACTTTAAGATCACATTCTTTAAAATATAGTGGCATACTTTTGATAGGTGGCTTCCAGGATTGTCCTGATGTTAGCACGGTAAAAGTACCACGTTCCAGAAAACCCCAGTCCTGCGTGAACCAGGGCAGATGGTTATCCTAAATCAGGCCCACAGCTACTATGGTTGTATGTGTGTGCGTGCGTGCATGCGTGTGGGTTACACAGAACAAATGGGAGGAAGTGGAGGTTAGAGTCCCTAAAGATGTCCTTGTCACTAGTATTTACTGAGTACACGAAACAACACATGCACAAGGCAGACAGACAACAGCCTGTGGATTTTTCCTTAAGCAGAACTCCGTGCCGTCTATCCTGCTGCCTCTTCCGGCTCCGATCACTTTTAGTAACTGGTCATTCTTCAGCCCGGAGCCCTCGAACCCTTCCAGGCCCTCAAGGTCCTTTGCCATCTGGCCCCAGCTATCCTACCTCGGGGCTTCGATTTAGCCTACTCGTTTTCCCGCACGCAACCCGCACCGTGCTGTCTATGCGCAGAATGGGCCCTGCTGCAGGTCTGCCTTTCCACTCCACAAATGTCATTCCCACCCCTCCACATCCGGGTTCTTCTGAGGTGGGGCGGGGAGAGGTAAGCGCCGGAAAGTGCGCTCCGTGGCTGGCGTACGGTCAAACTCGGCAGGGATGGCCGACACGGCACACTCACCGGCTTTGTACCAGCGAGTGAAGTAACGATCCACCAGCGACGGTATCTCAGGCTCAGCAGTCACCGGCTCGGTAGCCATGGCGACCGCCCCGGGAACCCAAGCACTTCCGTCCGCAGGCCCAGACCAGACTACGTCCTTCCGGCGCGCTCGGTAGGGTGATGCGCACGCGCCCGCTGCCCCTGGCTCCGCCCACCTCTGCCTAATTACAGTGCGGGCGGTCTGAAGTCAAATTGGGTATCCATAGAGTCTCCAGAAGGACGGAGAGACAGAGCAGGGCAGTTAACTCAGCCCTCCCTTCTACCGCGCTTTTGCTGAGACTGCCAACAAGGCCATAACCGAGTGACGCAGGGGCCGTCCCTTCCTCTCCCCGCCCCCCGCCAGGGCACGCCCCTTACGCTGCATGACGTCACGCCCGCGCCGCCCGGGCCCGTGCGTCTCCGCCGTGCCGTCTGCTTGCGGAGCTGCGCTCCAGCCTCGGGCCTTCGCGTCTCTACCCCTGAGGCCCCGGCGCAGGTTCCGAGAGACCTGGGTGCGATCGGGGCTGGGGTCTGGAGGCCGGTGGCGCGAAGCGGGAGCGGCGAGGGCGTACGCGTCGCGATTCGGGGGAGCCTCACCTCAGAGCGCCGCGCAGGTGAGCACGCGAGGGCCGCTGGACGCCGGCCCTGCTCGGCCCGCCTCGGGTGGCGGGGTCCGAGGCGGGGTGGGGACCTCCTCTTCCTTGGAGCCTTCGCCTCTTCGGTCACCGGTCGCTGTGTGGTCCGTGCTGCTCCCGGGAAATCGCTTGCAGTAGATGCGATAACCGCGGAGAGAGAATCCGCCTCCGGGGGAAGAGGTGGTGGTTTAGGTGCTCTCCTGCATCCGGGGAAGTTTTCCCGGAGACGGTGACGTCTCCTGTGTTTTCACCCGTGTGTGGTGTTAACGTCGCTTTCTCTCCTGGCTGTGATTAGATGGACAGAAGTCATAGACTGGATCCCAGGGTAAGTAAGGTATTCGGTGGAAGGACTCAGCTTTTACGCTGACCCTAACTCAGGTCACCTTGAATTTTTCCACATGAGAGAGCGAGCGCGAAAAAGGAGGCAAAAAGGGTTTTTAGCTTGGAACAGAGGGTAATGATGCCAAGTCTTAAAAAAAAAATAGGGTGCACTGCCATTTTTGTAGAAGAGCAGCAAGTTTTTCGTTTTTCAAGTTGCATTTGATGTGCATTTGATGTGTCTGTGAAACGTGTTCGTGAGGTTAACCCGGCAGGTTGACAATGTGGATCTAGCGTCCAGTTGGATTGGGGTAGCGCTAGTCCTACTGGCTGGAAGTCAGGCTGGGTATTAGTGGTCTGCCTGGTACTTGTAGTCAGGTATGATGAATAGTCCAGAGATAAATAGATGCCTTCATCTACCCAGAACGAAAATGCTGAAGCTGTTAGAAAATCAAAATTGAGTCAGGGTTGACCAGCGGTGGTGTGGAGGGATTTTTAGCACATTAACAAAGGAGGGGTAACAATGCTCTACAAGAAATGTACTCATTACCTTACTCATGTAATTGTAACGTCCCAAATTCTGGAAGTGTTTGGAGAACACTTTTTCCTAGGCTTTGGATGGATTGGAGACATATTTTTCATTGAGAAGTTAAGGAGTAAGGATGATGGGTGTGAAAAATAAGTTTGTTTTTGTGCTGAAAGAATTGGGGTATGGGGCTGGGAAGGTGGCTCAGTGGTAGAGAGCTTGCCTTGCATGCTCAAGGCCCTGGGTTCGATTCCTCAGCACCACATAAGCAAAAAGAAAAAAGTCGGAAGTGGCGCTGTGGCTCAAGTGGTAGAACGGTAGCCTTGTCCTGAAGACCTGAGGGACAGCGCCCAGGCCCAGAGTTCAGCCCCACAACCGGACCCAAAAAAAAAAAAAAAAAAGAATTGGGGTAGGAGGGAGATTAACCAGTTTACCTTGGTTGTTCTTGCACTTACCAGGTAGGCTCTGTCCTGCATGAGCTACCACATGAGTGCACACCACTGCTTCCTGCTTTTTATTGTTTTTTATTTCCGTTTTTATGAATGCATTTGTTAATATGTTTATTAGTACATACTATTAAAGTTATTGCAGATTCCTGTCTACTGTCAATATATCTGCAGTAGACCCTTCCTTGACAGCTGCAGATCTATGGTTCCAAGGAGCATACTGTTGAGGAAAACTGCAAATGCTTAGGATGTAAAGTTCTGCTGCAAATACTGATTCATTTTTCCCAAAATGCCCTTCAACTTTCTCTAAAAGCATGCTACCTTTGAACAAATCTAATAAAATTTTCACTGTATTAAGATCAGCACATTAGCTTTGACAGTGGAGCTGTGACTCAAGTTTAGAGCACCAGCCTGAGTGTAAAAGCTAAGCAAGAACTCAGTTCCCTAAGCTGAAGCACCAGCACCAGCACAAAGCAAACAAATAGTAACAACAACAACAAAAAGCACAATAGCTTTTACTTTAGTTTTAGAGTACCATTTGTTTTGGAGGAGGCAGATTTTCACAAAATTAAGAGTAGGATACTTAGCAATCTCACACAGCTATTTAAACAAAACTATGATAGTACTAGACTAAAAGCTCCAAATGAACTGAGCTATATGATGGATGTGTGAGAATGTGAAATTTTTGTTTTTGAAATTTCTTTGGATTGCCTGTTATGTTATATGCTTAGTTATTTATTTGTGCCAGAAATGGGCTTAAACTCAAGGCCTAGGTGCTGTCCTTTGCATTTTTGCTCAAAGTGGTGCTTCACCACTTAAGCTCCAGCTTCACTTCTGGCTTCACTTTCTGCTCTGGGGACTTCGAACTACTGTCCTCACATCTCAGTCACCTGAGCCATCAGCACCTGGTTTCTTTTTAAATTGTTTAGACTGTACTTGGTATAGTCTGTGAACGAAATGGAATTACTATATGTAGATGTATTTGTTCTTTTTTATTTTTGGTTGTACGAGACTTGAAACTTGGTGAGTGCTGGCTAGATGGGCACTTTACAACTCGTCATGCCCCCATCTCTTTTGGCTTTCATTCTTTCTTGTATGGTGTTTATTTATGCCTCAGCTATTCTAGCCCCTGATCCTGCTATTTATACTTCTTGTTAGGCTAGGGTGACTGGCACATGCCACTTCACCCAACTTTTTATTAGTTGAGTTCTTGCAAACTTTTGGCCCAGGCTTACTTCAAATTGTATATCCTCTGATATTAGAGTCTGAGTAGCTGGATTATAGACGTTAGCCACCATACCTGGCAAGTGCATGGATTTTTATATAATTCTGTCTAGTCTTTTCCTTATGATTTTTATAAATCTAATGTGTTAGAGATATTGTAATATGAAAATTAAATGTTTTCCCATTTGTTGTGCTCTTTCCAACTTTACTGAGGAATAACTAATGTTTTGTGAAGGAAAAACTCATAGTTTGTAGTCTACAGCTAAATGGTGCAATGCTGCCACACATATAGATGTGTGTGTGTTCAAATCATAGGGCTCCTTTTTCCCCCTTGGTTATTCTATCCACTTCTCTACCACTCAGTTGTTACAGCTGATATGAGTGTGGCCATGTCTCCAGTAAGCTATTTCTTTCTCTTCTAGATTGATTTGTCATTACTGTTTTGTCAAGGGAGATTTGTATTTTTTCCCCTCAGATATTGCTTCATCATGCGGAATCTAAAGTTATTTCAGACCCTGGAGTTCAGGGACATTCAGGCACCTGGGAAACCTCAGTGCTTCTCTCTTCGAACTGAGCAGGGGACTGTGATCATTGGCTCAGAACATGGACTAACAGAAGTAGATCCTGTCACAAGAGAAGTAAGTTACTGATGGACATGCGTGAACTTGACATGGCCCTTTGACTTATTTTCTTCCTTCTCCCAAGTTGTCTTCTTTTATGGCTTAATGAACTTGTGCCTTACTGAATAGAATATCTCTTTGTTTTATATGATGACGTACTAGGTAAAGCTTATATAGTATCATACTTTAAACTCTGCTACTATTTTAAGCTAAGGTGACAAAGCTCTGACCTTATATTTTATATGAGTACCCTATGTGTTAACCCTTTCTTCCATGTTAGTACTATTTATAATGGTTGTTCTCAGCTAAGAAGCACATAAAAATTGCCATTGGAGTTTATTTTATTTTATGGTAGTTGAACCCAGGGCTTCATGTGTGCTAAGCATCTTAGAGTTCTACTGCTGAGCTCTGCCTTCAGCCCCTTCCCATAGAGTTTTGTGAAAATAAATCATGATCTTTAGTGCTGGTACTGACCGTATATATTTCTAAAGGTTATATGGGTCAATTTTGTTATTTCCCCTCGATTATATTTTACTGCTAATGTATTTTAGGTTATTTCATTTTACTGTCTTTCCTCGTATTAAAGAAGTCTTAGAAAACTAGTGTCATGGGGACGGTTGTAATTCAGTATGTGTCAGAACAAGAGTTTGATTCATAGCATCGCAAAACAAAGCAGAATAAAAGTCACAGTCATCAGCTCCATTTTATTATTGAATCTTTTTCAAGAGACCATACTTGTTTTGACTTTATTTAGCAAAAGGGTCACCTTACTTACCTATTTTTATTGTTTAAAAGGATATACTTGTACTGCTTTTCAAATCAAACTTTCAATGTTAATCCAGATAAAAACATTTTGAATTTTATAAAAGAAGTCTTATAAGTGATTTCATTTCTGGAAATACATTTGTTCTTGAAAGTGAATTAGGTCCATTCCTTATGTGTTTGCTTTTTTGAAAGGTGAAAAATGAAATTCCTTTGGTGGCAGAAGGCTTTCTTCCAGAGGACGGAAGTGGCTGCATTGTTGGTATTCAGGACTTGCTGGATCAGGAGTCTGTATGTGTGGCTACAGCCTCTGGAGACGTCCTACTCTGTAATCTCAAAACACACCAAGTAAGTAAAAACTACGGGAAGGAGAGGAGGCTATCTCAGGTATTCTCAGACTCGTATCTCCAGATAATCACCAAAAAAGCCAAAAGTGGAGCTGTGGCTCAAGTGGTAGAGCTCTAGCATTGAGCAGAAAGCTCAGGGACAGTGCCCAAGCTGTAAGTTCAAGCCCCAGGACCAGGAACACACATTAAATAAATAAATAATGACAAAAAGGAAGGAAAAAATTGACCATCCAGAAGGAGGTATGTATGTGTGTGTCAGAGAGAGTTATTAAAGTACATTATATATGTATGAAAATAATGTAATGAAACTAAAAACTGTTGAGAGAGATGGTGCTTGGAATAAAATGGATGGTTTGAGTTTGATCAAAATACATCATATATATATATTCATGTACATATCAGAATGAAACCCCTTTTATAT